TGTTACCTGTTTCCATCGTTGACATGATGGTATAGTGGTAATCACCGAGGCGACCATGAGGGAAAATTGTGGACCATTCCCAGGTAAAACTCTCGTAACTTTTCGTATAATATTTTCTTTATTTCTTTTTGCCATTTTCATTTGGAAAAACTAACTAAATTTCCTCCTAACAGCTGATTGGTCATATTTTTATAATGTTTTGTATATTTGAACAATTTTGAGTCGATTTAAGCAAGGATGACGAAGGGTGAGTAAGGATGAACAACTCTTAAGAGAATTCTTATCCAAGGAGAAATCCAAAAGATCTACATACATCAAGTAGAACGGAAAACAGAGAATATTGAACTATTGCAATATATTAGCTGTTTCCATCGTTGACATGATGGTATAGTGGTAAAGAGCAAGGCCTTCATGAGCGAAAGTTGTGGGCCATTCCCATGTCAAACTCTCGTAACTTTTCGTATAATTTTTTCCTTAATTCTTTTTGCCATTTTCATTTACAAAAAGTGTCTAAATCGTTCCTCCTGACAGCTAATTGCTCATATTTTTATAATGTTTTGTATATTTGGACAATTTTGAGTCGATTTAAGCAAGGATGACGAAAGATGAACAAGGATGAACAACTCTGAAGAGAATTCTTGTCCAGGGTGAAATGCAAAAAATCTACATACCTCAAGTAGAACTGAAAACAAAGAATATTGAACTATTGCAATATGTTACCTGTTTCCATCGTTGCCATCATGGTCTAGTGGTAAAGACTGAGGCCATCATGGTCTAGTGGTAAAGACTGAGGCCATCATGAGCGAATGTTGTGGACCGTCTCCAGGTAAGACTCTCGTACCTTTTCGTATCATTTTTCTTTATTTCTTTTTGCCATTATTTTTCCAAAAATGTCTCTAAATCGCTGCTCCTAACAGCTGAATATTCATTTTTTGATATTTTTTTGTATATTAGGACAATTTTGAGTCGATTTAACCAAGGATGACGAGAGATGAACAAGGATGAACAACTCTGAAGAGAATTCTTGTCCAGGGTGAAATGCAAAAAATCTACATACATCAAGTAGAACTGAAAACAGAGAATATTGAACTATTGCAATATGTTAGCTGTTTCCATCGTTGACATGATGGTATAGTGGTAAAGACTGAGGCCATCACGAGCGAAAATTGTGGATCATTCCCAGGTAAAACTCTCGTAGTTTTTCGTATAATTTTTTCCTTATTTCTTTTTGCCATTTTCATGTACAAAAAGTGTCTAAATCGTTCCTTCTAACAGCTGATTGCTCATATTTTTATAATGTTTTGTATATTTGGACAATTTTGAGTCGATTTAAGCAAGGATGACGAAAGATGAACAAGGATGAACATATCTGAAGAGAATTCTTGTCCAGGGTGAAATGCAAAAAATCTACATACACCAAGTAGAACGGAAAACAGAGAATATTGAACTATTGCAATATGTTAGCTGTTTCCATCGTTGACATGATGGTATAGTGGTAAAGACTGAGGCCATCATGAGCGAAAATTGTGGATCATTCCCAGGTAAAACTCTCGTAATCTTTCGTATAATTTTTTCCTTATTTTTTTTGCCATTTTCATGTACAAAAAGTGTCTAAATCGTTCCTTCTAACAGCTGATTGCTCATATTTTTATAATGTTTTGTATATTTGGACAATTTTGAGTCAATTTAAGCAAATGACGAAAGATGAACAAGGATGAACAACTCTGAAGAGAATTCTTGTCCAGGGGAAATGCAGAAAATCTAGATACATCAAGTAGAACTGAAAACAGAGAATATTGAACTATTGCAATATGTTAGCTGTTTCCATCGTTGACATGATGGTATAGTGGTAAAGACTGACGCCATCATAAGCGAAAGTTGTGGACCGTTTCCAGGTAAAACTCTCGCAACGTTTCGTAATAATTTTTTCTTTATTTCTTTTTGCATTATTTTTTCCGAAAAAGTCTCTAAATCGCACCTCCTAACAGCTAAATATTCATTTTTTGATATTTTTTGTATGTTAGGACAATTTTGTGTCGATTTAACCA